GGAGGAGAGGGAGAAGGTGGCGGGTAGGAGGAGAGGTAGCGGAGGAGGAGGGGACATAGAAGGAGTTGACAAGGGAGGAGAAGGTGGCGGAGGAGGTGGCAAGGGAGGAGGCCACCGCCACAGGACGATGAGCAGTTTTCCTAAATCCTGAACGAAGGCTTTCGTCTAAGTTCATAAATACAGTGACTCGAATAAAAATCGATTTATGCTGAAACTTGTGTGGAACTCAGCGAATGAGGGCTGGGCAGCTAGTGCACCGTGTGAGTGGTGCGTAGACATAGTGGGAGATGGATGGTTTATGAGTGTCAAAGGCGTGTTTCTAGGGCGTGTCCTCGAAACCTACGAAACAGAAAGTTCTGGCAATTTTAAAATTTGTTTTCCAGGTCAGGAGAATCATGATAAATATACTATGGTGCTGGAAGGCACAGGAGAATTGGTTGTTATTGTGATCGATCCTAGAAAATCCCTAAAATCGAGTAAAAAACCTTGTAAGTTGTAGGAAACTGCTGGAAAGTACTTTGCCTCAGGTGTAGCATCTCTGAATGGTGGTCGATGTGTGAATCCACATGGCTTCATACGAGGTTAAAGGATGCGTCGCCATGGATACGCGTGTGGACGTGACGTAGTGGAGGAAACTTAGTGGGGCTAGTCATCAGATATCTAGTCATACCCGTTGCCATTATGTAGCAGCAATGTATAGAATCTCTGCAATTCTCTACCAATGCTAGATACGTGTGTGGATGATGTTAGCTGATTGTGCATATTTATTACTATTACTATTATTATTATTATTATATACTGTTAGTTATTAATCTTGCGCTGTATGTTTCTCCGATTTTTTTAATCGTTATTTACACTCATCCAAAGAAAAAAGAACAATTACTTAGCCAAATATATATGCCAAACTTAGTATTGTTCGCACGTACACTCGTTCACTTCTGTTAGTTGCTCGTGCTCACATTCATAGCAATGTATGTGATTTGCAATAAACAAGAATGATCCATGCAACTGTATCATTATTAGTGCAATCTTTGCAATATATATATAGATATATATATATATATTTTTTTTTTTTTTAAATATTATTCATGATACATGTAAACCGTCCATATTAATAAAACTATGATCAACGAGTAAACTGGTTGGCTTTCTCTCGTTTCGTCTCGCTCACGTATATACCACCTGCGCCTCAGGTAAAATATATCGCTGATATCAGGTAGGTAATTCCACCTCGCACTTCAGCATTCATCAGCCGGTGATCATGGGTGGGATCTCTACAACCGAACGTGGTGTCGTAGCCGTGCCCTGCCTACAAATCTATCCCTGTGTCGCGGCAGAGAATAGGGGGTGCGTGAGTGTGCCGGTGTGACCTTGGGCTGGCTACCGGTGGTGAAGGCGTGAGAACCTTGCTCAGGGCAGATAGGAAGGAGGTTTAGCCTGCGAGCCCACGCAGACAGCAGGGTGGGCGGGTGTTAGCGGGAGCGGGGCGCGTGTGTGTGTGAATCGATGGTTCGTAGATGTATCATTGGTTTGTTCATCATGTATTCGTAGATTCTGATTCGTGATAGACAGTTGCGTTTGCGTATTGCATGCTGAATAGCCAGCCCAGCTCGTCACAACTCCCCCGAAGCCAGTGGCGCCCGCAGATAGAAGCACTGGAAGCGCTTCCAGTAAATTTTGGGTTAAACAATTTTGTTCCTACTTTTTGTTCCTAAATCTCTCTCGCAAGACTCACCAGATTGCATCTCCAGACGTCTACCATTCAAAAAGTTTCAGGGGGCATGCCCCCAGACCTCCCTAGCATGCAGCGCACCTACGACGCTTGCTTTTTATTATCACTGAGGATTTTATCCTTCTGTGCTTCTACTTTCTTAAGACCTGTGGGCGCCAGTGCCCGAAGCAACTGTCGACTAGCATATAACGTTGGGTTTTGTGCAGATCCACCCGGCCTGGTTGTATTTCCTGTTTCACTTCGTACTGATGCAGATGGGGTCGTTGTCGTATCAGGTACTACAGATATGTACCCGAGGTAGTTTTAGGTTGTTTAGTATTATGTTTATATTTTTATATGAGGTATGTTTAGGGTTAGGGTTAGGGTACACTTCTGTAGTACAAGTCTGGTACTCTTTGTGTATACATATATGTACCTCGGGTACATATCTGTAGTACCTGATACGACAACGACCCCTTCAGCCGTACTGATCGATCGATCGTAGAAATGCGTAACGAGCAGAGATGTGACGGCAGCGTTTCCTAGCTCTCCTCAGTTCTTTACTCTCTGTTCTTCCTGTGTGTTTAGAGGATGTCCGTAGGATGTGGTGTGAAGGCCTAGTGGGAACGTGGCATAAGGATCCAACTAGCTGTACTGGTACAGGCAGCCTCTGCTTGCTGCCAGTAGCTTCTGCGCTTGTAACTGGATCCGTGGCTGACACACATACACAGCAGCCGTTGCTCGGCTGCCTAGTTTATTTCTGTATGCTGCGCCCGCCGCCGCATCCATAATAACTGCTAAAACCGTGGCCGCAGAAAACAGACGCGCACTCCCAAGCCAAGGCGTTTTCTCCCGCGCAGCGCAGCCACGTTCATATAGATAGCAAAACCTCGTTCCACCGAAAGACTCTGTCATTGTTCATTGCTATGCTAGTAGTCAGTGCTTGGCGTTACTGCGTTCTTACTGTATTACGTGCGTGTGCGCTGCGTATTTGTGTACGGGCCCACAACCGAGCACGCGTAGACGCAGGGAGAAACGTCAGGGAACGTAGACAGGGAAATGTACCCAGTAGTGTTTCCGCCTCAGGTTAGCTTACAACCTTGGTCCGAACCCTTGACAGCGGATAGCACACTGCTATAGGTTTGTCAGTTGCTGGTAAATATTTCGGACTCGCTATGAAATGAAAGCATATGAGCATATCTAATGTCCCCATACACGTCGCCCACAGCTGCAGCAGCAGTCTGCAAACCAAGCATCTATCACTCCAGCGAAATGACGGGTATCACTTAATGAACAAGTGATTGATATCTTGATTAAACACTTCCACTGATGTACTGATATTGCTGATGCTCTGTGGCTATAGAACCTACTCACGTATAACCTTCTAATTCAATCTAAGACATCTGAGAGGATGTTCAGATAGCTGCCTACAGTGACTGTATTTAGCGTCGATTCATTCATGAGAAACGTATGCTGCTACTCTATGTTCCTACTTTTTAAAACGTGATTGTAAAGTTTAATCACTAAACCATTATGTCGTTGTTATTATTATCGATAACAGGTAATCACCACCAATACCACGTATGTCAGGTACCAGTATATCAATACCAGGGGCCCGTTGTCAGAAACAAAATTAGTCTTAACATTAGTCTTAACATTAACTTTTTCTCTTAGACCGTCGACAGAAACGCTGCGAAGTTACCTGAATGAAAAATCGTAGCAGATTTCCTGATTACAATACGAAACAAAGCGCTGTCGACGATCTACGAGAAAATGTTATTGTTAAGACTAATGTTAAGACTAATTTTGTTTCTGACAACAGGCTCCAGGTATTCACCTGCTGTGAAACCCTACCGTCCTGTCATGGTTATCACCTGTCGTTCTCTCTCACCTGCACAGGTACGGTGTTTGTTGTTATCATCAATAGCAGGTAATCACCAGCAACCCTGCTGTGAAGACCTACCATCCTGTCATGGTTCTCACCTGTTAATCTCTTTCACCTGCACAGGTATGGTGTTTGAGCCGAAGGAATCCGCGAAGCTGCCGGTGTCGGAGGAAGATGGCATCGAGCTCGATCTTCCCGAGGAATATGAGGATGCGCTGAAAGGAGCGTCGGAGGCTGAGCTCATCGATATCGCCGGTGCGTGCATGCGGACGAGGAGGATGCTGGTGGCGTGCTTGCTGAAGCCATCTGACATGCTTGTTGAAGCTGTCTGTTATATGTGATTGCTGAAGTTATCTCGCATGCTTTCTACAGCTATCTCAGATGCTTGCTAAAGCTATCTTACGTGCTTGCTGATGCCATCTCCTATGCTTGCTGAAGCCATCTCGCATGCTTGCTAAAGCCATCTCGTATGTCTGCTAAAACCATCTCGCATGCTTGCTAAAGCCATCTCGTATGTCTGCTAAAACCATCTCACATGTTTGCTAAAACCATCTCACATGCTGATGCCATCTCATATTTTTGCTGAAGCTATCTCACATGCTTGCTAAAGCCATCTCACATGCTTACTAAAGCCATCTCATATGCTTGCTGAAGCCATCTCAATGCCTACTGATGCCATCTCACATACTTGCTAAAGCTAGCTCATATGCTTGATAACCCCATCTCAGATGCTGATGCCATCTCAGATGCTTAATAAAGCCATCTCACATGCTTGCTAAAGCTATCTCAGATGCTTGCCAAAACCATCTCATATGCTTGCTAAAGCTATCTCACATCTTTGCTGATGCCATCTCATGTACTTGCTGAACCCATATTGCATGCTTACTAAAGTCATCTCACATGCTTGCCAAAGCTATCTCATATGCTTGCCAAAGCCATCTCATATGCTTGCCAAAGCTATCTCATATGCTTGATAAACCCATCTCAAATGCTGATGCCATCTCACATGCTTGATAAAGCTATCTCGCAAGCTTACTGAACCCATATTGCATGCTTGCAAAAGCTATCTCGCATGCTTTTACTAGGCCATAATTGCTACGGTATATATAATAACAAACACCTGCCTATAAAAGGCAATAACACACCTGCCTATAAAGGGAACTTTCAGCATTTCTACTGAGTGGAATATTAGGGGCGTTTCCCTTGAGTGTTCCTTATATACAGGTTTCACTTGTTTTTTAAATCGAGCATCCTTGAAGAGCGAAAGCGGTAATATGAGAGTGTATTTATTCCATTAAGACAGCTATAATGTACTGTGTGTGTGTGTAATGTACATGTACTAATGTATTGTCATGTGCTAATTGTAGGCGTGCTGGAACTACATAGCATGCTGACGCAGGACCAGTACTGGGAGTCTTTCAAGAACGTTCTAGCACAGGAAAAAGATGCCACTTTCTCAGGTAAAGAAGCTGAAGAAGAATGCAGCTAGTTTTTCCCAAATGATAAACACCTATCGCCGCCCTGCTTTAGCTCACTCATAGAGATTCGCATATACTTGTACGTTTTGTTCTAAATTGTGATAACCATCCAGTAAAATTCAAACGTTTTTTATTTGAAAGATTTGAATTTGTTCTATGCGCTAATGGGTCGAGCATTCGTAATGGTTAGTATTTTCCCAAATCGATCTCTAAAGTTGTTTGACTCATGCAGGCTGAATCCATTACGACTGCCTATGAATCAGTCTTAAAGCAAAAACATTAATCCATTCAGTGTGGAAACGTTGCTAAATCGATTACTAAGGACACCGGTCCAAGAAAAAGTACCATTTCCTTTTGTGGTCCATATCAAGAGGCTGTAACTAATGGCACGAAAGAATCACAAACGCTTAACGTACTATTAATGCAACTTTCAGGCATCACGCCTTCTGATCAAATTTATCAAGATACAAACTCCTATTAGAGCATTTTAAGTTATTATTGTCTTGGAAGATGTACTGAATGGTAGTGGATGATTTTCCAGCCACGGTCCTGGCGAACTTTTCTCATGCTGTTCCATCTCTTGCGCCTTTCGTACGGTTCTGGTTACTGGACACATCCTGTATGGTCTATGGACTCTCAATTAATGGCCCTGAAACTGTTTTTTGAATTTTAAGAAGCAGTTGGCAGTGTAAATTGGCCGTATGCTTGTGCTCATTATCGCCTCTAAGATGTTGTTGGTTTGGTTTTTCCCGGTTGCCATATGTTGAGCTGCAGTTTCGTCAGTGCGCCCCACAATCATTTTACTCCTTGACTTTCCCCAACGTACTCCTCGACCTTGATGTTTGTTACCAAGTTAATAGCTACTATCTGCTCTGTTTGGTCAGCTTCGAAGTAGTCCCGTTGCCCGTAGGATCCGATAGGTGTTATATTATTCCTCCGTGTTGCCATGGAAAGTGGCGCCATCCGGTGGTCGAGTGTGGCAACCTGATGACACAGCTGTATTTCAGGACCTGCGAAGATGTCCCAACTGAAGATTGTCCTGCCCGAGAAACCTAACGACACAGACTTTGGTGCGTCGCTGGAGAAACTGAAGAGCAACGATTCGTCGATGAAAACTCTCAACCTGAACAACAAAAGCGTGAGTGACACGATGAGTTATTCTGCCCTGCAACGCACTTTATTAAATATCATTTCACATGAACAATAACAAAAATGTTGGTGGTGGTGGTGGCGGCGGCGGCGGAGGTGTTGTTGTGGTTGGCAGCGGTAGCTGGTGGTGGTGGTGGTGGTGGTGGTACTGGTGCTGCTTTGCTGCTGCTGCTGCTGCTACTGCTACTGGTGGTGGTGGTGCTGGTGATGGCGGTGGCAGTGGCAGTGGAGGTGGCGGTGGTGGTGGTGGTGGTGGTGGTGGTGGTGGTGGTG